GCATACGCAAAATATAATTCAAATATCTAAATCTACACTATATTCTGTATTTAGAGTAGCTAATGAAATAAATATTAAAATAAGTAATAGTACACTCTAAATAAACTCGTCACTATACAAGAGGTTAATAAACACCGTTCTCTCTAGACTGAAACATCGGAAGGAAGATGTTTCGGACTACGTTCTTTCATGCAGTAATTACGTCGTAATATCGGTTAGATGGTAATTACACCACTGTGTAAGTGAACAGGATCGGAAAAGTAATACATATAGCTGAATGTAATGTAAACAAATATGGCTTAAACATTGGTTTGAATAAGGTGCGGGCACACGAACGGTCTTGGTCGACGATTTTTGTCGCTGACTCGAATCTTGACTAATTTCCCGCGTGTGCCCATGCTCTCACGACAAGATTATCGCGTCCAAACAAGATTTATCCAATCTGATTGATTTTCCTTTCGATTGGATGCTCCGTAAGTGATTATTGACTTGGTGGAAAACGACCTACGGCGGGTTTTTGTCTCCTCGTGTGCCAACACGGTCGGTGAAACTCTAAACCAAGACCGTTTGTTTACCTGACCATTTTGACGTCTTGTTTGTTTATAGGCCTGCCCTACCGTGTAAATTGACACATACTGTCCACGAAAGTTTGATAAAATGTTCCGCGGTTGTAGAAGTGTTTACCCAATCCCTCAATACCATCGTTCTCTATCTGGCAATGGATTGTGCATTTAGATCAGGATTTGGGAATTCCTTCTTTGAGACTTTAATTGTTGATAACAAAGTCCTCAGTTAAAGGGAAATAATTTGAATAATCAAACCAATATCTAGATTCAGACAACAATATTAAAGTCACCGCTTCAGATGGGGAAAATGAAATGAAATGAATGGAGTTTTACGTCCTACTTTTCTGCACCAGGTTCAGATGGGGGGGGGGGGGGGTGCTTTGACATCATGTGATGAAATCTTCTTCTCTCTCCCTTTTGGGATTGTTGCATGCCTCCTATATGTCTCCTATACGTATTCTAAGGGTTTAACTAATAATATCGAGCCATTGTAAAGCCAAACACAAAAACTAGGTCAATCTGCTTAATCAACAATTAGTACTCTCCATTTTTAATTTTTAATTTTTAACCCTTTTAAAACAAATTCAATTTGATCAAGATGATACATAGATATAAATAGCACACTTTAGAAATATTTTCAAGTATAGTTTACGACGTTTTTGATAATAAAATTTTTAAATCTCAAAATTCAACCTTCTATAACTTTTTCCAGAAATCTCGCTGTAAACTTTCCAATAAGTCACATGAGGTCTGGCCAATGCTTAGTTTCTGGACAAAAATACAATATATCATGACCATGAAAATCTTGAGAAAGCCAAACTGGAAGAAGTCGACTACATTTTATCAACATCCGCTTGACTGTCACTACAGACAAAACGAAATCTCGTATCACCTTACAAAATCTGAAAGAAAATACAATTTCAGACATCATATTCCAAATCTAGACCAAAAATTAGTAAAAAATAAGCATGTAAAACCCAAAAGACCCAGAAGATTTCTAAAAATAACCTGGACTACATATGCATGAAATGTTTTAGTGGACTCGGTCTATTTAATAGTCAAGGGAGGAAGACTCGGTCTATTTAATAGTCAAGGGAGGAAGACTCGGTCTATTTAATAGTCAAGGGAGGAAGACTCGGTCTATTTAATAGTCAAGGGAGGAAGACTCGGTCTATTTAATAGTCAAGGGAGGAAGACTCGGTCTATTTAATAGGCAAGGGAGGAAGACTCGGTCTATTTAATAGGCAAGGGAGGAAGACTCGGTCTATTTAATATTCAAGGGAGGAAGACTCGGTCTATTTAATAGTCAAGGGAGGAAGACTCGGTCTATTTAATAGTCAAGGGAGGAAGACTCAGTCTATTTAATACTAAAGGGAGGAAGACTCGGTCTATTCAATAGTCAAGGGAGGAAGACTCGGTCTATTTAATAGTCAAGGGAGGAAGACTCGGTCTATGTAATAGTCAAGGGAGCAAGACTCGGTCTATTTGATAGTCAAGGGAGGAAGACTCGGTCTATTTAATAGTCAAGGGAGAGAACTGATCACAATGATTGTTATATTATGTGACTAAACCGTAACATCTGTCTCTATTCCATCTTCTGATAACTACTTGGACAGGATGTAGGCTGGTGTAGAGACAGAAAAAAAGCCTGTTAAATGGAGACATTCCGCTTCCCTACGTTATAATGCTTTTTGGTCGCAACTTGAAGTAAACAAGTCGTAAAGCTGACACATTTTAATACAACTTCACGTCAGAATAAATATAGATTAACATTGAACTCATAGAGTATAATATCTGTACATCTAGATAACTTAACTTGAAATTTATTGTGACGTCCGCCATGAACAGCTTTCAATTCATTTGCGAGAACGAATGGGGTGTTATCTTGCGTCCCTTTGTGGACTATTCTACTCAGTATACTATTATAGTTAATTGCACTACCTTGAACCCAAGCTTCAGTTACGGTTGATGCGCATTTGGACTACAATTAGAATATAAAATATATGAAAAAAAAACGATCTACCTATCTACGACTGGAAAATGTCAAACGCTTCGACTGTTTTTCAAAAAGCAAGTTGCCCGTGTAATTCTGTGTCGTTACGGTTGATGTACAATGGGACTATAATTAGAAATATATGGACTGTGTTAATTTGTTTAAGGTAGATCGTTATTTTATTCACTAGTTGGACAGTTGAAGGAACAACACTGAAATATCATCGTTTCAACCTCCAGAATACCATAACAATCGTTGAGTGCCTTTACATGTGCATTATCTTCTTTACATGTGCATTATCTTCTTTACATGTTCATTATCTACTGTACATGTTCATTATTCTCTTTATATGTTCATAATCTTCTCTATATGTTCATTATCCTCTTTACACGTTCATTATCTTCTTGACACGTTTATTATCTTCTTGACATGTTCATTATCCTCTTTACATGTTCATTATCCTCTTTATATGTTCATTATCCTCTTTATATGTTCATTATCCTCTTTATATGTTCATTATCCTCCTAACACGTTAAGAATCTGTCACAATCTAGTTGTAACTAATTGTCAAACTGCAAAATAATGCCAAGTGGTATCAACTAGATTTAAGATCAGAGACAAACTTAGAGACGTATTCAATTCTGAACTATGGTTGAATTCTCATGATATATTGTAAGTGAAACAATAATACAGCGTGGCTAATTGCCAAGGTTAGGTAACAGGAAGAGAGCGTAAGGGAGGTAATTAGAACTGGCAAACCAGTTCGTTTACACTGACCCACGTTACATAGGTAGCCTTGGTACTAAAAGCATATCTATGGTGTGTTCGTTTTAAGGAATACATCACTCTTACCCCTTTCAACCTTGGTCTATTGCATTACCCTTTCCTCCCTATAAATCCTTACTATTTACTGATTTTCTTCTAAATTTCCACCGCAATCATTATCATGTCGGACAATATAGCCAGGTTAAAATACCCTGATCTTGATGTTCGAAGATTCTGAACGCCCAGTTCCTTGACTGTTGAGCTTTCACGAAATCTGTGTGATACCTTGACATTATTGTGCACTTTTTTTCATCACGGAAGTTTGATTGGGTTGTAAGCTAGCCAGTTTTTTATCAGTTGCCTTTGCACTCTCTAATTCAAATTTCTAACCGGCAATGTTTATGTTTTAAATAATGTCCAAGACCAACTCTCTGTAAAATACTGAAAATACAGTAAGCCATACCTTATATGTATCAATATTCTTTTCAATTTTAGATTCATCCCAAAATTACAACATTCCAGAAAGATTACAGCATTGGGCAAAGATTCATCCGAATTCAGAAGCCTTCGTGTTTGTTGATAAGGATGGTTTGAGGACCTCTCTTACGTGTAAGGAGATTTTAGACCAGTCTGTGTATTTCGCCAGACAGCCGAGAAAACTGGGTATACAGCCTGGAGAAGTTATTTGTAGTCTGTTACCCGATTCTCCTAACGGGATAATTGCGTTTTTTGGCACCATCCTTGCAGGTTGCGTCATTCTGAATGGGAAGCTTCAACTGAAAGATGGCTGTTTTTTGATCAAAAGCATCAACAAAACAAAAAGTCCACTTTTGATCGTATCGTCTGATCCTAAAGACGAATGTAGGAAATTATTTTCAGAGATAATCGACAATGGAGACGGCAATTCAGTTTCTTCAACGACGATTCCATTTCTGAAGTATGTCTTGTACACAGAAATGAATAAAAATATTGGATTGAGATGGGCCAATCAACTACCAGAAAATGACGAAGCAGATGATGATGTCATTTGTTACGATGGTAACGCAGATGCAGTTATACTGTTGTCATCTGGGACAACTGGCATGTCCAAAATGACGGTTCATTCTCAATTAATGATAAAATCAGTCTCGGTGGGCGAGATATCTAAGAATGCCCGAATCTGTAACTTAGTTATGAGATTTTTGCCTAGAAATCTTGCTTTCGGGGATGTTCCCCTCCCCCCCCCCCCATCCTTTGCAGACTACCGGGAAAATCAGTGGTGGAGTGTCGAAAGGTACACCCAAGCCTATCGATAGAATTTCATATGCAAAAAGGGAATGGCAGACCATAACACATATCAGAAAAAGGACACAATAGATATTAACACATACGATAAATATTGGCCCTATCAACCTTTTCTAACTACATAAACTACTAAATATATGAACATCTATGTAAAAGGTTAACATGTCAGCTTT